AAAACCTTATGGCATGTAGTTGAGCCACCACGTCGTTACCTTAATTCTAGACGCTCAGCAGTCATGATAACCATGCCAGTGAGGCCCTATCACCGCCACAATGCCAGCTGGAACCACAGCATTTGGCCCACCCCGGTTCATGGCAATCCCAGCAGTGAGGGGCCTACGTTCAGGTGTAAAACGGGATTCTCAACTTCTTGAGTTCAAGGCCACAAAAAAGATCGCGTTGAGTTGTATGGAGTGGAAGGTGTTATTTGGTCTCAAGTCGCCGCCATCTAATTTCGTTCCTTTTGGGGTGCACCCCAAAAAAGGAGGCCAAGTGAGCTTTGATGCTGGATATTATGCTTGGGATCTCCCGCCATGTCCTGTCCCAAGTTTAGCCGGGGCCCAGTAGTTTGTAACACAGATCACGAATGCGCTCCTGCTTGGACATGCACCATCTGATGAGAAGGGCTGAAATTAGAAAGACAATTTCATCTCCACTAGCTCTGTGACTCTCGTACTACATCAGTGACTGACTGCAAAGTCAGGAGTACACTTCCTGAGACTGAGAAGTACATCAACAATTGGCACTTCATCCAGCATCTTTTCGCAATCAGAGCTTGGAGGACCTCATGGGAAAGTCCGCGAGCCACTCAGCACAGCAGCGGATGGCATCCGAGCTTTCAGGCATCAGGTTGTGACCTGACCTGCACGACCATGTGAGCCGAGCAACATTGATTCTTGACACCATTAAAACCTGGCAAAACTCCGTGCCTGAACACATTGAGTTCTGATTGTGCGAGCTGTTTGTGGAGGATCTCCCCAGCACGCAGTGGCGTCTGTCGGTCTTCTGCACCCTGCAAGATGAGCACTGGCAGCCCACCTCAGCCAATGCAAACCATGAACTCCAACTCACATTTCTGCCAACCCACTGAGGCAAATTTTGAGGTCTCAGTTGGCACAGGGAAACTCTGCACTTCAATTTTGTGAGATAGAAGAAATACAAATAATGATTAAGAAACCAAATAAAAACGATAGTTCTAAAATGCTTTGAAGATATGGTGCTGTTTAATGAGTATGATAACACTCCAAAGTATAGAATATGAACAACAAAAGCAATTAGAAAATAAATATCCAAACTTGCCAAATCAAATGGTGATAATATGTCGTCGAATGACAATAACAAACAATCAAAAGGAACAACATACAGAAAAGAACAATCTTTGCCAAATAGTACAATATATTATCTTTTCATATCTTTCCTTACTCATGAACGAGGCGATGGTCTTCTTGATCTATGGCGGATATGCACTCAAATGCATACACTCTTCACCGTTCAACAAAACCGTTGCGGAGGGGTGGAGATAGCATCATCTACCCGTCTACCCATTGTCAGGACCTCCTTTTCAGTGCTACTCATGTCTGGGTTCGGAGTCCTTTTTCAGAGTATAACCTCCCCGTTGGTTTCACATTTTGTCTTGATACTTTGAAAAAAGAAACCAATGACAGCCGCAAACAAAACTAAACTTGTCCTCTCCCTCTCTCTATCTCTGTATCTATAATATGTATATATACATATATGTATATGTTTATATGTAACTGTCAGGTGCTCGAAGCTCTTGAATGGCTGCTGTTGCTCTGAGATACAAAAAATGCCTTCAATTTGTCCAAAAGCTTTGTCCAAGGCACTCAGCTTCGGCATCTCATGCTCTAACTCCATATTTGCTACCATGAGCTGAATGGCAGCAATGGCTGCGTAGCCTCCAGGCACGGCAAAAAGTTTGGAACGCACAAAGCTGCAAAATGCCACAGGGAGCCTTGGGCCGAGGCATCCTGTGCACGCTGTCGCCAAGCAGCACGAGCTTTGGAGTTCACTCTGCTGCTAGTGCTGATCAGCACCAACCCCAACACATGTGATGGGTCATCCAGCGCTGCACGCAGGGCCTTGGGGTGCCAAGTCCAGCCCAGGTCCCCACGTCATAAACCATTGCATAAGGCCAGTCGAGTTCAATTTTACCGCATAGACCCTCATCTATATATAAATCCAACTGTTGTCCAAAGGGGGAAAAAGTGTACTGGCGATGTGGCAAAATCACAAGTCTGACACTTTCCTATTGCCCGTTGCAGGCAAAAACACACCTCTTGATTTCATGACATGAAATATTGACTTTCACAAAATGCATGACTTCAACCAAAGCGAAAATAGTGAAAATGCATCCATGAGACAATTATTCCTCCAAGGGAGTGGCCTACCAGTATGACCCTGGGCAAGGCCAAATGCTGGATGAGATCGATGATGTCGTAACCTTGGAATTTGCGCTCTCCAAACACTCATCTCGACTCATTTGCCACAATGTGAGCCTTACTCTCTCATAGGTTCCAACCGCGGAATTAAAGAATGCTTCCCCTGGTGTCCAAAGTTCGGTGAAATATAGCAGCTGAACCAACCAGCTCTCTTCTTTCAACAGGTCCCCTCAACCCCTTCATGCCAAGCAACCAAATTGCTCCAGTGAGACTGATCCAAGGCGAGCCGGGCTTAAACCGTGCCCAGGCACATCCACACGCACATGCCTTGCAAATGGAAAATGAATAAGTAATATATAAGTACTTCAATTTTTGATTCCAAGTAGTTCCCGATGCAAGTTCAGGAGAGGCCCCTGGTCAACTGCCTGAAGTCTGGGAAGTGTTGCCAAATGCCATCCCAGTAATGCAGGTTGTTCCACATGCCGTGGATCCTCACATCGCATCCAAATGACACACTTCTCTCCACCCAGCAATGATCAAGCACGGTCGGAAACAAACCATCATCTTTCAATACAGTTGTTCACAGGTAGTTGCTCACCAAAATTTGGTTTGAATAAAGTAAGTCAAAATGTCGAAGGAACCTCACAAAAAATAATGTTGTGCATGACATCGCTCCGGTCCAAACAAGGGCCACAACGCCGGACTTCCCAGAGTCTGCGTAATTCAGCACTTGGCCTCATCACCGCAAACAAATGTGCTCGAGACACAAAACCATCCAACCAAAGTGTTTATTCAAAATTACTTGGTGGTTGCACCTACGCAACAATGGTTGTGGTGAAAATCAACCTACTACATCATTCCGCCACAGGCTGTGGGAGACAACCAAGGAACAAGATCTTGGTGCCCGCCATGCAACTGCTAGGGCTAGGCTACATACGCAAAATGATCATTCAACTCTGCGCGGTCAAAATTCCTTCGCTCACACGATGCCCATGATTCCTCTACTGAAACTTGTTGCCTTGAACATCTGCGACATTGGAGTCGAGCTAAATGCTGTTTGTGGGGCCAAGGTACCATCTCGTGCGTCAAAGGTTTGTGTCGACATGGCGAAACACAAGCAGCACCAGCAACAGCAACAACAGTAGCAAAAGCGGCACACAGCCGATTGGGAACCAAATGAACCAACAATCATCTAGCCCACCCTCTGCTGCATGGGAACTGCTGACCGCTCAAACCTTGTAACCCCACTGTAAAGCTGGGGCTTTGCAAGTTCTATTTTTCTGGTGGAACCTTGCACGCCTCAGGCTTGTTTGTGTTTTCCAAAAGGACTCAAGTCCAACAGACAAAGGCCTATGTGCTTTGTAAGTTGCTGGAACCGAACAGCCATGCAGGTACACAAGTTCTACGGAATGTTTTTCCCCAATGCACAGCGAAGAGTTCTCGTTTAGCTTTGGGAGTCTGGGGTAGAGCCTTGTTCGCGACGAGCTGTCTGCGTCCGCAACCATTCGCAACCGTCCGCAGTAGGGCGCTAAGGCCGCTGCCATTGGGGGAAGCTTTTGGAGAGGGTTTCGGATGAAAACGTGACGCATCAAATTCGTGTCAAATAGCGTGGAAACGTGTGCAAATGTGAGATGTTGAAGCATGGAGGTGGAGTTCACTGCGCAAGCACAGCACTCAGGAGGACGCTTTTATTTTGCACGAGTCTGCTGCCAGTCATCGCAGAGAATGCGAAGGTCAGCTGCTGAAGAGATCAAAGGTTTCCTGTGGTCAAAACACAAAACCACCAACCAAAACCAACAAAACACAAACACGAAACCACACAACAAACGCCCAAAAAACAGCACAGGACAGACTAGACAGGAAATCTTGTGGATCTCTCGGAGGTTTTTGAAGTTTTTGCTCCCTGCGCATGAATGAATTCTGTGTGAAACGAAACTGGGCGCGGATGAATTGCTGAGGAAGCAGCATCTGCATCACAGGGTTGATGAATCACTGGCTGCTGCATCATTGGCTCCATCATCCCGGGCTGCTGCATCATCATCATCATCATCCCAGGCTGCTGCTGCTCCATTTGATAAGGCATCATCACCCCATTCCAGATTTGTGGGATGACCATTTGTCCTTGCACTTGTCCCACTGCAGCCCGCTCGCTTTTTTCTCCTGCTTTGCAAGGATGACGACATGATGAACAACGAAGCACGAAATGAATCACAGGAAACAAATGATTCAATTGCAATCCAATTTGAACTGGCACCGGAAAGGAAAGTTTACCTTTTTGTGAAAGGCCTTACTCGCTTCCTCTGTCCCCTCCTTTGTTTTTAGTGGCTCGCCTGCTGACAATCCACTCCATACATGTCTGTCATCGCTAGTTTGGATTGCAAAATCCCTACAGTATTCAAGAATTTTCTTGTCCTTCTTTGTTGCATTTTGTTGGTTTGGGTTAGCCGCGACTGCTCAAGGAACCTACCAGTCAGGTGCGGTGGTGCAGGCCGATCCTTGAGGCCTCACCCTAGATTTGTACGCCATGGTTGACCATCCAGGATTGTTGCCATGTCCGGAGGTCCTTGAGCCCAGGTTGGGGGGTTTACACCCTGGGATGAGGGTGTCACTGGTGGCTGACATTGAGTTCCACAATCCCAAAGGAGCTCTTTGTAGAAGCTTGTTGTTCAGACAACCTTTTGTCCTGCAAGCTTCAGTTGACAAGAGTGTCTCGAGGGTCGCAGTCTTGGGAGCGCTTTTCTCAAGATCACACCTGGGCTTTGTCCTGACAGTTGATGACCCTAGGTTTCTTCTCAGCTGTGATTGAGGGAGACATTGGAAAGTTGTCCACAGTGGTTGAATTGTTCGAGGCCTATCCCAGATCCACATGCGTCGCCCTTGGCTTCAGCTGCCAACCCTTCAGCCATGCTGGAGATCAGAGAGCTGGTCCTGACGAGAGGGCACTGTCGTTGCCCCATGCTTTGTTCTTCAGTTGGGTGACTCAGGCACCAGCCATCGTGATTGAATGTGTTTGCGAAGCGGCTTCATCAGCCTTTGTCAAACAAGTATTACAGGCCTTCACCAGTGTCACTCGATATGAGAAAAGCGAGACGATCATGGACCTGTCTTCCATGTGGCCATCCAAGAGGAAACGTTGGTGGTTGGTGCTGACGGTGATCTCTCCGACAGTGAAGTACTCCATCCTCCCGCTGCCTGATCATCATTTTCAGGCCACAGGAGCGATTTCTGGCTTTAGGATGTCCAAGCGTAAGTTGCAGGATCCTGCCCCTACCCCTGTGCCACGATCAGGGGATTCGTCCGAGTTGCAATCAGCATCAGTGATCCCAATTCCTAGAGAGCCAATTTCGCAGGATGGGGTTTCGCATGCCCGAGTCTTGAAGCCTTTCGTTCGTGCTAGTGCACCAGAGGAGTTCGTTGATTCGTCGATCAGCATTATCCGTGTATGTGACAACAGTGTTCAAGCAATCAAGACCAAGGGAACAATTTCAGTTGCCAGCTTCTTGAGAGCTGAAACCGCCATCTCAGGGTGCAGGGGTCAAGTATTCGATATTTTGGGCTGTCGCCTGACTGATGAGGCATTGCTTGATCCAGGAAGCTTCTATGTGTACACTGAGAGTGATCAAATCCCTGAGGCAATGACTTCAAGAATCACTTGGCTTTCTGCCAATGGTGCCAGAGTTGCAGTTGATGAGATGGAATTCTACATCCGCACAGTGTCTACCACCTTCAAGATGCCTTGGGTTCCTCCAATGATCATTGAGGATTTGGCCTCTGCGCCGACCATTTCGGCAGCTTGGCTCTCTGAAGTTTCGGGCGCTCTTGATGAGTCTGGCATCGTTTCGGCCATTCTGGCTAATGGACATTGGATGCCTGTGATCGTTCACCAGGCTCCCCATGGCAAAACAAGGTTCATCGTCACGCAAGCTGATGCCTCGTTGTGGCCTTCTTTATTTGATCAGCAAACACGGGTCGAGCACTTCATGCATGTTTCCGCCATGGGGCAGGAATTTCCTCATGATTGTGGCTTTCAGACGTTCATGTGGCTCACTGCCCGAGCAGCTGATTCAGAATTTGATCCCGCTGATTGCCTGAGCTGACTTCGATCCATCCAGCTGACATCGCCATTCCTCCAGGGGTCTTTCGGCAGCAGAATGGAGGTGAGCTTCCTCAGCTGAAAATCAATCAGATCTCTCCCACTGCAGCAGGCGTTGTTGTTGGGCATGAAGAGGATCTTGGTCCCTACATTGGCAAACCAGGGCTTTCGTCCCAAGGATTGGCCTTGCTAGTCATCTCGCCTAGCAAGTACTTGCTGGATAAGTTTGGGGAGCTCATTCGCTTTCCTGTGGTTTGCGTGCGGAGCCAATGCTGGTCTCCGCACTGCTTCTGCAAAAGGTGCCATCCTCGTTGAGCGCAATGTTCCCGATCAGCCTCTGCGAATTCAGGAAGTCTCCAACGTGGTTGTCAAAGTTGCCATGTTTAGGGATGAGTGCCCGACTCCATGGGAGAAGATCATCGCTGCGCCCGTTAATATTCCCGCAGTTGATGACATGCAGAGAGCCATCGTGCGTTTGTCCAAAGTTCCATCCAGCTTCTCGAGAGGAAAGTGATATGATCATGGATGTCTGGAACAGGGATTTCATTAGTCTCAAGTTCCGTCGTGAGGCGCCAAACTCTGCTGATGTTTTCATGCGTTGCATTCGGTTCAGGACCTCGGCAATTGAATCGGTGTTGAAGCAGTCGGGATCGCATGGATGCTACATCGAGATCAGAGCACCTGACGGGAAGAGAGATGATGTCAATCACTACACGGTCTGGCTTCCGCGAAAGTCGTTGAGAGAGGCCCAAGCTGAGCAAGCCGCCATCAAAGAGCCGTCCGCCATCATTCGTGTGGGGCACAGGTACGGTCTTCGGGTGTCAGCTGGTGATGCTGAAGCAGTTCATGCCACCGTCCGTCAAGAGCAGGCTGTCATGTTGGGACCCAACAAGCAGACTTGGTGCATGGGGCCTCTGCCATGGGGTTCCTCCAAACAATCAGTCCAAAAGATCATTGATGAGTGGGGTTGGAAGGCAAGAGCATTGCACACAACCGGCAAGGCCCCCGATGGCTCTGGTCTGGTTTGGAGTTTGCACGCTGCTGGACCTTTTCCCAGCCACTGTGTATTCCTTGAGCCATGGAGATGTCCTCCTGACCAGAGTTGATCTGCCACAGGCCGTCGCATCGGGTCCTGCACCAGTTTTGGTAGCCTCCAAACGCACACGTGACTCATTGTCTGCAGGTGCCCAAGATCCATTGCAAGTCCATGATCCTTGGGCTCAGTCGTCTAAGCCTCCGCCAGCAGAAACGAGGTATGTGACGCAGGCACACCTAGATGCCTTTGCAGCAACCTTGGAAGCTAAGGTCTCGGTCAAAGCCTCTGAATCTAGTGATGATGTTTCTATGGACATGGATGTGATGACCCGAGTCGAGCAGCTTGAAACGCAGGTCCAACAATTGACCCAGGCCCAAAATAGGCAAACAGCTGAAACGCAAGCCATCGCCACTCAGGTGTCATCGCTGACCTCTAAGGTAGAAGCCACCGCACGATCGGTCGAAAATGCAGTTGAGGCCAAGTTGACGCACCACCTGCAAGAGCTAGACAACATGCTCTCCAAGCGTCTCCGCTGCACCACTGTGACGCCAGATTCGAAAGAGTGACTGGTGCGGCAGGGCATCAGCAGATGCCTGAGCCTCTGGGTTTTGATCGTATGTTGCGCCGGTGATTTTATCTCCGCTCTTTGCTTGGCCAGGGTTTTCGTCGTCAGTTGAGCCTTGGAAACTTGTTTAGTAGGGGTTGCATGAACGGAATGCATCAGGGCATACCTGTGGGGAGTTCATCTCGCTCATGCCATAAGTGTGTTTCCAGTAGTCGTAAAGTTGGTCCACGCAAGGGTTTAGGCAGCCTGAGGACTTTGGCATTTCTCTGCCTCGTGTGTCCTGTCCAATGCCTTGAGAGCATCCGAGATCGGGGTGGTAGGTGTTCGGCCTGGGATCATGGTTTAGCTTCGCCGACTGAGCTTCCCATCCCAAGATGGGCTTCATTTGGGTCTGAGGCCCCCACTAAATCTGAACAAACGGGTTCCAATCATGATCGTTCAAGTCTTTCTCGAGCAGTGGCTTTGATGCCAACTGGGACTGGGGTTATGCATCATGGGAGAGCTGCACCGTTCGAGCAGGTCTGCTGTTTGCAATTTAAAATACCGATTGAATGGGCCCTCTTCGACCGCTTCAGGCCTCCCCACGTCAGCCAGCACAAGTGTCGATTGCACAAGGTCTACCACAGTCATGGCTTCTGTTTCAATGCCACCCTGGATGAACCAGACACGCGCAGCGTCTTTGCCGTTTCGCCCAGCCGAGGTGACGTGACTTTCCTTCCAAGTTGGTCAGGCGGGACAATCCGGTGTAGGTGGAGGAAAGCTTTGAACTATGCTGCACAGGCATATTTCCATCCGTGTCAGCCGCAGCTTTGTTTCAGATTGAACCACTTGGAAATCCAGACAATGTTGATGGTCAACAAGGTGTATCTGAGAGCGGCTGAGGTGAAGCCTTCACCCACTTCTCTGAGGCACCAGGGACATGCAGTGGTCGCCAAACCTGGCCATGTCCGGCCCCTTTTCGATAGCCAGCACAAGAGTCGACTGCACAAGGTCTACCGCCAGCCCCAACAAGTGGCCTTTCAGCGTAGGTCGACAGCTGACAGGACTTTTGGCTTGCTAAGGGTTGCAGGGTGGTCCTTGGTTCCAGTCCGCCAACTCCAGTGACCTGCACCAGGAACCTTCCGAAGTCGTGCCTGTTCACAATTGAGAGCTTTCCTTTGCGTTCGACCCCGCAGGGTTCCCGCGCCGGCATTGTTGCCTTCCGTGTAGAGTTGGTGCCTCCGAGGGCTCATCTTTGGGACATGGTGACTTCAGGGCTGTTCGCCTTTAGGGGCAGTCAAGAGTGCACTGCCTTGTCCTTCCATGGTTGCATTGGGCCCCTTGACTTTTGCCGGCACATTCGTTTGAAGCTCAGGGTCCACCCACGACTCAGCATTGCCGCTTGCTTGCGTAAGTTGGCCGTTGACAGGCATGTGCTTTTCAGCAGGGGAAATGAAGCTTCCATGCACTGTCAGCAAGACTTTGTGGTTCCATTTTGGGGGCTCCTTGGTGGTTCAAGAGCTTCGGCATTGTCAACTGGGTTTCCCGCCCTAATATGGGCATTGTGTGAGTCCTTTGTTCCCACCAACTTTGTTCGAATCGGTTCCAATTGTGATGGTTTAGGTCCTTCTCGCGCAGTAGCTTTGATGCCAATAGGGGCTGTGCATCTTGGCAAAGCTGCGTCATTCGTGCAGGTCTACTGTTTGACATTTGACTTTCTGGTTGCGCGGGCCCTCTTCGGTCATGTCCGGCCTCATCTCGTCAGCCAGCACAAGCGTCGATTGCACAAAGTCCACCATAGGCATGGTCTCATTGCCACCCTGGATGAACAAGACGCATGCACAGCCTTTGCCTTTTCGCCCATCCTGGGCGATGAGACTGCCTCTCCAAGTAGGCCGGGCAAGTTGACCCAGTGTTGGTGGAGGAAAGTTTTGAATTATGCTACACAAGCATATTTCCATCCTCCAGGCCCACAAATGGCTCTGCATGGTCACCGACATGTGTGGGTTTGTCGTAGGCAGGCATTCTGAGCTTTTGCGTCTCAGTAATAGAGGTGAGATCACCGCACCGAGCCAGCATGGCTTGGAGAACCCAATTGGAGAGCTCCATGGCAGTTTTAGGACTTTGGCTTCTCGAGCCGTTGAGTGCCCTGCCCAGATTTCACATTGCCTTGAGGTTTGTTTTTCATCAGCTGTCGACTCCGGGGGCTCATTTGGCCCGTCAGAAGCAGCATGGCTCAGCAGTCAAGAGCATGGGTGCAGAAGATGCTGACGATGCAGCCCGGTCTGGGCCGCACTTTCGGCACCACAGAGGCTTGAAAACAGATATATTAAATATATCTGCCGTTCTTGAGGACAAAATACTTGTCAACGCGGCCTGGTTTGACCGTGTGTTCTTTTTCCTTAGCCAGCACAACAGTCGATTGCACAAGGTCTACCCATGGCTTAGTTCCTCCACTGACACAGTTGAGCATTGCACTCGCAAAGCCTTTGCAGCTCCGCCCACCCAAGGTTGTGGCGAGGACGGTCTTCCAGACGGGCCAATCCTTTGCACCTTGGCCTTTCCGTGGAAATGTCTCCAGGATATTGCAGTGGCACCGAGACCTAGGGATGGGCATCTTGGACCAGTTGGGCCCCCTCGACTCCTTGTGAGTCTGTGGAGATGCAAGCATGGTTTGGCAGACTTTGATCAGGTCGAATCCTCTTTCACCTCCCAACACAAAAGTCGGTTGCACAGAGTCCACCCATACTGTCGATTGGAGGCCGCATGTGGCAGACATGCTCCCCACTTTAAGAGCACGTGCATGCCTGGCCACGAGGTTGCTTTAAACAGCCCAGGTCGGCTCATTGCCATGCCTTGTACCAAGTGGCCCAAGGTTCTCAGAAGTCCCACACTAGGTGATCCTGCCAAGCACCACTTTGTGTTCATACCTCCAGATGGTACCATTTTCGAAGATTCATCCAATCGGATAAGGGATAAAGTCATTGCCAAGGATGTCGGGAATCCAGTTCTAGGTCCTACCAGGCGACCATTGACCGAGGCCTATGTTTTGAAGTTTGGAGGCATGTCATGTGAGGATGAAGGGAATGCTTCTGGCCTCGACCGGCCTAGCGCTTCGCTTGATGTAGGGTTGGTGCAGCTTCCTCCAACTGCTCGCAGCGGTATCTCCATTGTTTCGCCACCAAGGTGCGACTTCCTGCATTGGACATGTAACTGCCACCGTTGCCAAATTTCGGCCTGGGCCTGCCCTTGGGTTGGAGGTGCAGAGTTTGGGTGGAACAAGAGAGAGGGGTCTCATGCCATCCGCCTTTCATGCGTGGGGTGCTGTAGAACTTCTTTCACGACAAGATTCGACTGCACTTCCTCCAATGCTTCCTCCTAGGATGGTCTGCGCTGTGGTGAGCAGAACCCCGACACGGCCAGAAGGGTTGGGTCGTCTACCTGAGACGGCTCCATGTGCACCACAAGGCATGCCCTCCACTCCGCTTTGGAGTTTGGTTGCATCGTGCCCTGGGGTCATGCACGCCGCACCACAGCCACTGGATGGGGGCGATAATGTCAGAGATACCTATTTCAATTGTCTCCGGCTCGGTCGGCGGTGGACTCCAGTTCAGTGCACCGTGCCGATGCCTAATCATCCGAGCTTGGCCCATCGCAAGTGGGTTGCATTTGCCACTGATGCACGTTTTCTCTTCCCTGTTTCGGAGGAGCAGCGTGTCCGACCTTATGATAGACCACGTCATGTCAGCGTGTCATACCTCGTTAGGGTCATTGTAATGGGATCGCGTCGTAATTGGAGAAGCCATTGTACCAGGTCCATGTCCGGATGCCACTGGGGCGCTTGCCGGTGAATGGTCTCTTGGAGCCATAAACCCGAGTGGACTCCTGTTTAAGAGTGACCGCATCAAGGATCTGCCTCCAGGTATTTTCGCCATCAGTGAGAGCAGGTGAGCATAAGGTTCGAAGAGAATTGAAACTTTTGTCCCCTCCTCGCAAGTTGCTCACGGGCCACCCAGCGCCCTTTAAGACTGATGCCAAATTCGCGATCGGAGGAAAGCAGACCGGGGTGGCATTTGTGCCGTCGTTCGCTTGTCGATCCATTGTCGCAGGATGGCAACCCGACCTTTTTGCCACATCACGCATTGCAGCAGCAAAATTTTGGGTCTGTGGCCAGTGGATCACAGGAGGGGTTGTTTACGGAGAAGCCTTCCTCGCAAACACGAAG